TTCAAACATTATTAACCAAAATCAACTCGAGAAAATAAATAAGGATCCCACAGCCAATTTCACAAAAACCCTGAATAAGGTTTTAAACCAAAATAAAGAGCTATTGACAAGGAAATTAGATCTTTAAAGCAAATCAACACTAAAGCTCCACAGTTAAAAGGATTACCGAAGATTCATAAAAATCATTTTCCTATTCGGCCTTTAGTTAATTACATGTTGGCTCCAGGTTACCTCATTGCTAAAAAACTAGAACGAATCATAAAAGGACAATATAGAGAAAATTCAAACAGTTGAGTTGAAAAGTAGATATACATTAGCTTCACTTGATATAGTAAACTTATACACGAATGTTCCAGAACCCGAAACTATTGAAATATTAGAAAACAATCTGAAACAAAAATCCGACCTCAATGAAAAAGCCATCAGTGATTTGATAAAACTAACAATAATTGTCTTACAACAAAACTATTTTACCTTTAATAATGAATTTTACACAAAGACAGATGGATTGGCAATGGGATCACCCTTATCAGGAATATTAGCTGAAATATACCTCAACGATTTTGAGGGCAAACATATCTGGGGCCCTATTTTTGAAATGGTTGACAGTTGACTCTACAGTCAACACTCGACTCAACCAACAACAGGATTTGGTATTTTTGAAATCCAACAGTTTGGAAGTGAGTTGGAAATCACTAGTTGAGTGACTCGTTTTGGAAATGTAGAGCATACGACCGCCCGAAATTCAGATGACGTCATTTTAAACCAATCACAATGCAGAGTTTTTGTGATCTTCGATTTTACCTCTTCTTACTCTAAAATCTGGATCAGCTAATCTCAATCTACCATATTTCGAGATACTGAGGTAAACTGTCAACTCCGTTCTTGAGAGATTGAGGTTATGTCTTGCTTAAAGTGATTGCAAAATTACCTTATATAAACTTATAAGTATTAACAATAAAATTTACTATGGATGTTTGTTTGTTTTATGGTGTAGCTCTCATTATAAGTTTAGGCATATCCTAAATACATTATTATTTGCTTTCTTCGTATCTATTTCAGAACACATCACCTTATTTTTAGTTTTCTTCATCGTTTTGTTTCATGTTATTTTTAATTGTGTTTTTATTTAGGTTAAAGCTTATGGCTATTTGCCATTGCACTGAAAGCTTATCGTAACTTAAATTAATTTGATCCCTTTATTAGGTGAATGGTATTGAAACAAACTATGATATTGTTTCTCTCTACCACAATCTTTAATACCTTATATCATAGGTCTAATAACAATAATTATCTTTTAATAAGTTCAATTAGTATGCCTAGTGTATTTCAAACAAATTAAATAGTCTTATATCAAAGTAAATAGATTAAATAGTCTGGTATTGACACAGTAAATAAAATTAACAATCGCATAAAGTATTGTAATAAGTTCAATTAGTATGCCTAGTGTATTTCAAACAAATTAAATAGTCTTATAACAAAGTAAATAGATTAAATAGTCTAGTATTGACACAGTAAATAAAATTAACAATCGCATAAAGTATTGGGTTCTAAGCTAAGACATTGACAACAAATACATAACCTCTAAATCGCAATTACTAATTAGTAAATTAAAGCAATAACAAAACAATATGGCGTCGACTCAAAAAGAGTAATTTTTTGCCGAAAGAGAGGAAGAAGAAAGTGCAGTCAACCTCCACTCAACAGCTCGATAGGTGTTGAGTAGTTTTGGTAGTATAAGTCCACCGTCAATCGTTTCAAAAATACGAAACGATTGGAAATAGAATGACTCGACACTCAACTCAACAGTCAACCATTTCAAAAATAGGGCCCCTGGACAGATAACAACCGCTATAAAGATAAGATTATGTTTTTCCTCCCATACGTTGATGACATAGCAATACTTTTTGACGGCAATATAAGACAACTCCAGCTGTTTTATTAAATACATTAATAATATCCACCCTAAACTTCAATTTACAATAGAACTGGAAAAGGACATTAAACTCAATTTCTTGGATTTAACTGTCATGCGAGGTGATAAACATTTCATGTTCGATATTTTCAGAAAGCCAACCTTAACAGATACTACAATTCATGAAACATCACACAATCCTGTAAGCATAAAATGGCTGAATACAACAGTTTCTTTCATTGGCTTCTATCAACACCACTAAGCTCTGAAAACTTAAAAGAGAAAACTACTATTAAATATATCGCGCATAAAAATGGTTACCATCCCGTTATAATAGACAACATCATTAAAAAACACTTAAAGAAAAAGAACACTAGGAATGCAGTTAAACCTAATGAAAGGAAAGTATACGTAACTTCGGAGTAAACAAACTGCAAAAACTACCAGGCAGTCCTGATAAAAATAGAGTAAACAATACAGCCGACAGAACTGGTATTTACAAGTTAACATGCGACGATTGCAACAAAATTTACATTGGGCAAACAGGCAGGACATTTCAGACGAGACTCAAAGAACATCTGCCTAAAGCAAGTCAAATTTTGCATTAAATCTTGTAAATGAAAACCATAACTAAAGTGATTTTAACACAATTTTAACCCCTCTACACTTCTGCAATAATAAAGGCAACGTTATGGACGATTTAGAAGAATTTGAAATTTATGAATCAACCAAAATTCAACCTAACACATTAGTAAACAACAAAATCAGTTTCCAGTCCAACGCTCTGTATGACACTCTTATAACAAACCAAGTAAAGCTGATGAATAAGGAGCCGAGAGGTACAAAGTCCACCGCCAGACCGTCTCCCGCATCGCAGTCATGACCTTCACCTGTAACTGTGCGGTCGGACATTGTAAGTTTTCGTTGGTAGGCCTACTCGCTTTTATTCGTAATACGTCCACGTTTGTATATAATATGTGTCCGTGTTTTGTATGTAAACTCTTGACAACCTTTTCGAAGTGACAGTGTTTTAATGTTCTTGTACAAGATCTGATGATGAAGACTTAGTCTTTGAAACGCGTTATCCGTAAGGAACAAACAGGATCACTCTGGCAGTACTCAGGTAATTCTATACCTTTTATAGTAAATAAGATAATACTTTATTTATGCGAGTTACATCTGAACTGTTTTGTCAATGTCTGAAAGTCGTTTACCATTTAAATTATAAAAAATAATAATAAACAAGAATATTTACTAGTGGAAACATTGGAATCCTCTGGGAAACAAGCATGGCAGGGAAATAAGTTTCAACATACACGAGGTTGGCATCCCTACACACCAACAGCAGCCAGCGTTACAGTTGAAGTTTAACTTAATTAATTTAATTATTAATATTTGTTTGGTTTTATTTAAAGTGCTAACCAGGTTCACCAGCCGCAAGAGCCGGTCTCCATGATCATTGTTGTATATGTGATGCTAGGATAATGAATTGTACACTTAATTTGTAAATAAAAGCACTTTTAATTTCATTTTTTTAAATTATATATAAAGCTATAGGTGGTTTTTCTTTGTATTGTTTGTGTAGAGTAAGTATTCGTAAACAGTATTTATAAGCTGATACTATATATTGAACGATATGTATAAAATATAAATGGAGATTATTTTAATTGTAATATCTCCATCGTACTCGTAATAACGAGCTAGCAAAATAATAGACGTGAGAGTTACTAAAACTATCACTGAGAATAATTACAACTCTACAAGTTGTTGCGTTATTGACTGTGTGTATAGCCTTCAACTCTGGCGAAACAATGCCTGCATTTTTAAACCTTCCAGGACTTAGATCTTCAGCAACTCTCATTTTATAAACATTTATTTACAAAATATAGGTTGTGTGCCCAAGGTCTAAATCCCGCAAGGTATAAAACAGTATCAGTGGGTGAGTTTTCTGCATTGACTGTACTTTTAGATCTTCCGGGATTTAGACCTTCGACATACTGCCCGTTTAGACCCTCAGCAACAAATACTAAATACAAAATGTTTGCCGAAGGTCTAATTAGACCTTCCGGGATTTAAACCTTCAGCAACACTCCCGGCAAATACCACTATCTCATTCACTGATCACTGTATCTCAAAAACTACAAGCCATAAGAACTCAGGAATTGGAATGAAGGTTCCAATTAAGTTCTAGGTGTGCAATGACAGGTGTTTTCAAGAAATTCCATGAGTGCTCTGCCCCAGTGGCCTTTAAAGTTTGCATGTTATCCTTATGGAAAAAATATTTGCTTTTATTTAAACAGATGAGTATGTTTGAATCCACACTATTAATTAAGGAAACAGCTGGTTATATTTTAATTAGTTGAAATGAAAATCTATTATATTATGAAAGTGATACAATCAAATTTTATGTAAATGGTTAAGGCCATTAACCAAATAAAATTATAGGCATATGGCACATCAAAATGAAGCTCAGAGTGTGTAGATTTGCCAAAAAGTATTGGAATGAACTAATTCTCTTAGGGCTCTGCCCCACAGGCCGATTTCCAAAGGTCTACGCCATAAACGTTTTAAGAAGTTAACGTTATTCGACTAATTTATCGAAAACAGCTGGTTAATAAAATTGACAATAGTTTGTTTATTTACATTTTTGTTTACTTATATTACTTTTATGTTCAAAGATGTGCGGTAAATGCTATTTTCGAACTGTTTGATACAAGTGAGTGCTTTAAGATGTTTGAAAGACGATGCATATGAAATTAAAAAAAACATGTCTGTTGGTCGTCCAAGAGGTTGTCACCGATCTTTAACAGGACGTCATGAATGAGAGTGGCGAGTTCAGGTACAACCGTATAGTTTCGCATAAGTTTCCGTGCGTGCGTCCAGATCTGTTCGGGGATTTGTGTCTTGCTACTCACTCACACCTAACCCCAGCACTGCCAATAACCGGTACATGTATGTTTTAATTCGGATAGTAGCAGTTTAACAACAGTACCAGCCTACTCACACAACATTGCCAAACACTTCCTCCTTGTACTACAATGGCTAACTGATTTTTGTTTCATGATTATGTTGTATTAAATTACAGCTTTTGACACTCTATTGAGGAACTTACCTGACCTCATGCTGGACACTCCTGATGCCCCCACAGTGCTGGGAAACTTCCTGGCTCGTGCTGTTGCTGACGACTGTTTGCCTCCCAAGATAATACAACAGTTCAAGGAAAAGATTGAGGAGGAACATGCCCAGTATGTTTGTTTGTATCCTGTAAACTTTTAGAAAACATTAAGAAGAATAAGAATAAGAATAAGAACTTTATTCAGCCAGAAAATATTTCATGCAAATACATTGGCACGTCAATTTTATAAATAAATAATATTCAACAGAAGTCCTTAACAGTCCATTGTCTTGACATATACTCTTCTATAGAATAAAAGGATCCTTTACATAGAAAATAATTTAATTTAATTTTAAAATCCTTATCACTAAGCAGTCTTATATCTAATGGTAACTTATTGTACAACTTAATTGCAATCATCATTGGTCTTTTATCTGTCTTGGCTAGTCTTACTTTTGGCAAATTAATGTTATTACAAAAACGAGTATTATAACTGTGCACATGTTTTCTACAGTCTAATAAATGAATATTGGCTCTAATATAAAGTAGACATTGATGTATAAATAAAGAAAACAAAGTCAAAATTTTAAACTCCTTGAATAGATTTTTACAACTATGACACATATTTACACCAGCAATGACTCTAAGAACTTTTTTTGCATAATAAAAACTTCATTTGCATGAGGAGAAGATCCCCAAACAATCAAACCATACCTTAAATGGCTATGAAATAGTCCATAATAAGCCTGTATTAAAGAATTCTTATTCAATTCACCACACAAACATTTCATAGCAAATATACTCGAACTAAGTCTTGCCTTTACCAAATGAACATCATTCAAACACCAACCCATATGAAATGTTGAATGATTGGTGTAACAAACTCTATAAATAGCTAGTTTAAATGAATACTTTCCAAAGTAAAAACTTTTTTACATCACCTGTTTCTTGATTTGAAAAACAGTTGTAAGGTACCAAATTTTAAGGGGAGTAAAATCGTACTACGAATAAATGAACATCAGAACTTACCCGATTTTTAACCACAATAGCCTACTCCTAGGCCTATGTGTTGGCCATAGCTTGGGCTATGGGCCAAAGAACGTATGCCTATTTTTTATTCACAGTGAAGTACACAAACACAACCACAACTACATATTTATTCATAATAGCATTCGCTTACCATAATAAAGTTAAACCGGCCGATTATACAGGTATTTAACGCCGACGACGACATCACACCAAACTGGTGTTTATTTGTTGACAGACGACAGACGAGAACTAGACCAGCTCAAGAGCTCAATAAGTGAATTTGCGATCAGCTGTTGTCTAGTAGTACCTGAGTTCGCCGCTTGAGCGCGTAAGCCTCGAGCGGGCAGGAAAGAAGGATTTTACTCCAAGACAGGATTATTCGTTTGAACGCCGTCTTCGAAGTAACTTCGTCGTTACATTCGCCCGTTAACAACGCTTGCACGATCAGACGACCATCGATAATTTGTTTACCGAAGGTTAGCTATAATAGTTAATCACATTGCTACGATTTACGTTTAGCATTCGCATTCCCGTTTCCAAATTCGATTTTCAATAACTAAATTTAATAACTTTAATTTCGCCGACTTGATTTTAGACCCACCAGTTCCTGCCTGCCAGCTACTAGCGGTGATTATCGTTTGGTTTGATTTAGATCATTCGGTTTCAAAATTACAATTTCTACGAATGATTATTACGTACGTTTATTCTAATTAATTCGCCGTTTTAATGCCCCGAGACTTGTCGTCTGAGTTCTAAACCCCGTCTTTGGCGGGCGAGAGAACCTAGAGTCTTGGGAGTAAGCTGATTTTAACAATCAGCCACGAATATTAGTATTAAATTTATTTTAAACGTATCACGATAAATTCTCCGTCCAATTATATTAATTAAGCCCCGACGACTCTGTAGGAATTGTTTTTACCTTATATTCGATATTATATCAATTACCAACGTCCTTAACCAATTATTTTACAGTTTAGTACGAGTATTTAAATCACATTGGCTTAAGATCGAATACTCGTCGGCCCTACAGAGTCATTCTAAAAGTTAGGCAAAATTCTCCACAACACGTTAGCGAAGGCTGGGATGATATAGCTCCAACTGGGCGTCTGCAGGATTTCCTGAGCGCTTCTAGAGCTCTGAGCCTTTGATTAAATTTTAATAAATTGATCAGTCAAAGCCGTGACAACTTCGTTTTGACCCCTGGATTTTTCTCGGCTCCTTCTGAGCACTCCGGGGAAGAAATTTGAGTGTGGCCGGTTCTAGGGGTAGGCCTAGCCTGACTTAGGTGAATACTAGTTTATTCCCCCTCTAGAATTTTGCGTCACACAGTACAGTATGACACCTTACTTTTTTTAACTTCAAGCACAGTTTTCTGCAGTAACCGTGTAGTGTGAAAGCTCTAATGCTCTTTACACTACAAAAAAAATTGTAATTTTACAGCAAAAACCGTATAGTAAGAATGGAGCTTAACACGTTGAGTGCGAGGATCGGGAATTCCCGTCCTGCCGTACCGGCACCATCGGCGTGGGGCGGGAAATGTCGTCCTCCTTGCATAAAAACAACCTTGCTTAAGTGTGAGCTCCGGCTCGCGCAGGGAACTTTGTTTCCAATTGTTGCTCGTTGTGCCAGTTATATACTTCAATTTAGTATAGTTAGTTTTCAGATTCGACTATTTTATTGGTGGAAGGGACTGTTCCAAATTTAGTGTAGTTTGGGGTTTTTGATTGGATTTAGTGAAATTGAATAGAATAATGATAACAATTACTGCAGTGAAGCATTGTGGAAGGAACCTAACCTCAAAATTGTGCTTGATGCCTTTTTGTGATATTTTTTGATGGTGTATCTGGATTTTTGTTCCTGTTTTTTTTTTCTCTATTTGGTGATACTGAGGGTCTGCTGTTTAGTGCTACTATCTGTTGAATTATTGTAAAACTACGTCCAGATCAACTGAAACTCAGTAAGATACATGCTATAATATGCCTCTCCTATTGGATGAATCTAAATTTAAACATTTTTTCACACTTATCCACACGCTTATTGGCCGCTCCCGCCACCGGCCATCGCACGACCGTAGCGAACTTGTGAATAGGAGTTTTGGTGTTATCATGTTATCTTAAAAAAAATTTATTTTACTAATCAATAGTAATAGTTATTTGTGTAACTAGTGGGCGAAGTGGCACTTTGCTGCACACGAGAGAAATGTTTACAGAGAAAGTTTCTCAAGTGCAGCAAAGGCAGTTTGCACTCGCGTTACACATTATATTTCTCCTACAGTTACTATAAAGCATATAAATAATTACTTTCAAACACTGTACAACACGTTTTTAGGTTAGGTTAAATCCAAACATTGAATGAAATGGGAATTGCTCCACCAGCTGATCGTAGTCGTAGGATCTTTAAGTGCTGCCAATCTACTTCCATGCGTACACGAATTACGTGCATAATAAAAGCACACTGTTTTGTGTTGTTCAGTTGGAATACTGGTGTGCGACAAAGTAAAAACAGTGTGACAAATTAATAAGTGTGCGCTAAAGTAAGTAAATGCAGCAATTACCAGCTTTCTGTACTATAATCAGTGAAAGGAAGACCACTTTGTCGGGTGGCTGTAGAAAAAGTATTTAAGTAGGCCTATGTCAAAATATTTATTGGTACATAACATAACAGGGTTTACAAGATACATGTAAATGGATGCTTTGTCATGAACAAGTGAATGTGGTATTTCTGGTTATAGCTCTTTAGAATTTTAATCATTTGACCATCGAGTAAAAACTGTTATCCTTAGAATTTCAACTTGAAGAGTTCTTAACAGTTTCTTAGCATGATTTCTATTACAATACCAGGATGAAATTAACCGACAATACCAAAAACAAACTGATAGAAATTGCAAGCGACACATCAATTTTGTAGCACAAACCAGTATCTAAACAAATTTTAGAGTCAGGATTTTTTTAAAGTCTTTGCATTTTAGTCTCCTGATCACATTTTAATCCTATAAAATAGTGTAAATACCTGCATTCTTGCAATCTAGGACTTTGCAGTAGGGCAACTTAGTTTCAACTCACACAGGAGTTATCACCAGGCCAGTACCCTTGAAGTGACAAGGTTTGAAGGACAGCTGAAGGTTGTAACATCAATAATAAGTAGAACATGTACTTAAAAATCACTAATACCTTTGACTATTAATACCTAATACTTATGGTAGGCGAGACACCAGTAATTTCTAGAATTCACTTCTAGATAACTTCCGTCATAGACAAAAAGAAATAAATATAGACTGTCAGCTGTGCTGCGGTTAGCGTACATTCCGGCGCCGACCGCTAGGGGTAATGTGTAGTTACGGCGCACACCGCTGCATCATCAAGCGCTAGCGACCGTTTCCATAACAACTTGGTAGTTGGGAGTAGTGTTGCCAACTTTGGAGAAATTCCCCGGAATTGGTGTTTACTGACTTTTTTAGTATTAATCAATAAAATAATTTAAAATGCCATATTTTATTGTATTTTTTCAAACGTATATTTTTTTATACTTTTGTAGTTTCATTACAATGATTCAAAGTTTTTCTTGGTTAATCCATAATTTTAGGAAGTGGTTTATTGGAAGGTTTTGTTTTATATTTGCAAGGTCAAAAACTAATTAACCAGGGTGTCTAGTATGCGGGGAAAACGGGAAAGTCAGGTATTAGTATTGAATTTCAAAATGGTCTTGAAAAGTTGGGATTTAGTCTTAATTTTTATATCAAAGTCGGGAAATTTCATGATTTTATCTCGATCGCACTAGACAACGATCACGTTTCCGTGACGGCGCAAAACGATGATGATGTCTACACGACCGCGGGAGATGTCCTTAAACAGCGACCGTGCTATTTATGCTATAATATACGTCGTTTTCGAGACCGCGGGAAAAATGATCACGTCTTTTCTGCGATCGCGCAAGACGATAATGTCTACATGGCCGCTGAAGATGTTCACAATTTTGCCGCAATCGTCGACGACAATAACGTTTCGTGACCACGGCATTCAATGATGATGTCTACACAGCCGCGGAAGATGTTCATGATTTTGACGCGATTGCAGAAGACGACACTAGCGATATAGTAATCATTTCGTTTGCAAGAGTGGTAGTGCTGGTAACAGCTGGCGAGTAGTCGTGGTCGACACCGAATCGAATACCGATAACCGATATCGAACGGCGGTAACGCTCTAGCGGCAGATCGCAAAACCTTTCTTTGACAGTCTATATTTACTCTATTGTCTATGCTTCCGTCCACTCATGTCGTGTTCCATCTACCATACAAGTAAAGCAAGTACTCTTGGAGGTTTAAGGTGAAATGTTGTATCTGGGTGAATATGTATGGAATTCCAATGTAGCTAACTTAAGTATCAATCAATCAATCAATCAATCAAATATTCTTTATTCACAAAGTTTAGACAATATAAGTATTGTATTGGTTGTGTACATTACAGGGCAGCACTGCACAGATCTGAGACTTTACTGTCCATGAAGCATGGCCTGGTGCGACTTGACAATGTGTGGGGAGTGGGCGGTGGCTTGCGTCCCGTTAAGTACCTGGTCCGTCAGATGAACCTGCTGCTACAAGAGTACCTCTCCTCAGGAGACATGCACGAGGCCACTCGCTGCCTGGTGGAACTCGAAGTGCCACATTTCCACCATGAACTTGTTTATGAGGTATTTAACTTACACAATAAATACCCCCGCCGCAGCAAACCTGCCGACTAAGTGAATTTCCTTTTGCCTGAATTGATTTTCAATTAAATGTATTTCATTAACATTAGGTTTAATGAGTACCTAGGCTTGCTGCTACCATCAATGTATAATAACTCCCTGGATTGCGCGCTCAGGTTGAAGTAGGGATCGAAAAACGGGCCGTCGCTACCTCGCTCTGTCCGCCAGGAGTAGGGATAAAGGCATGACTCACCCTAGTGCCGAGCGTCGCGCCTGCTCTCGCTGTGTATTGCTATGTTAGTTTTGTGGAAATATTCCAAGGATAATTGATTGTATTGTAACGAACTTAAGGAGGTGTTATAAGCAGATATAATTAATTTACGTACTTGCTCACACTTCACAAATTATTTGATGTTTGCAGGCTGTAGTGATGACTCTAGAGGCCCTCAGCAGCAGTGTGGAGGAAGCTATGTGTCGTCTGCTCAAGTCTCTCTCAGCAGCTGTCATAATCACACCTGATATGATGGAGAGGGTAGGCTATCAGTTAAATATCTAAATACACATTATGCTATGCTAATATGTAAGAACTTAGAACTACAAATATATACTGTGATATAAATGAGATTATCTGTCTTTCCATCACACAATGTATAGGACCAATTTTTGTTGAAATTAGGGATGGGTCGGTTGATAATGTTGGTTGTCTGTTTTACTGGTTTTTAGCAAATAATCCAAATCGAGAATTTACATAAACAAATGGTTTGGTCTACCGTGCTGCTAGTTGGTTAGGAGCACCAAGGTCTATCAGAGGTCATTTTACGACTTTCATTATTTATTACTAGGATAATGATACAATTACAATCCTAATGGATCCAGGTATATATTTTTAGTCCAGTAAAATAAGACATTTTGGTATGCAAAAGGTCGGGTAGTTCTGATTTTTGGATATGTTGTTAGTATTGGGCCCATAACATAAAATCCAAGTTATCCACCTCGAGATACTGCCGCTCGCCGCGGGGCGCGCCACTTGTTATCGAAATATCAAAAATATGGCAATTCCTATTGTTTTTCACTCAATTTCGCGAACTGTTGATTTTACCGAAAATTTTATACTATTAAATTAAAGAAGAATAAATTTGTGACAGTTTAAGCCCAACAGCAAGTATGTAGCGTAAATAATGGTCAAGGAAGTGGAAATTCGCTTAGTCTGCAGGTTTGTAGCAGCGGGGGTATTTATATTAAATTTTATTGTGTTGTACACCTTATGAAATATGAATATTATGAACCAAAATGATGTTAATTGTTTACGTTGCTACTATAACTGTAGGTACCCTTACTTTTACTTTAGTACTGTTACTTTGGGTGACGTACCTCAGGAACAATATTAGACCCCTCCTATTACACTACTTTTATAACCTTATTGTTTGTTACTCAAGCAATTTAAATAGGCCCCTCTAAATAATCAGGTCTAGGTCTAGGTTTTTTTTATTTGTTTAAAGAGGTGTAATATATACTGAGAAAATGTAATTGAGCCTGACATAAACTAATGATTGATATGTGTCGATGTTAACTTTGAATCTGTAAAGGCAACAATCTTATTCTTTGCTGATCCAATTGTATTTTTCATATTGAATTTCCTTTATTTTCAGAAAAAATCTTTGTAATATTTGTATCAATTTCATAGTAAACTTATAATTAATTTTGAAACTGACAAGAAATATGCTAGGCTAACTTAAGAATGTGTTGAGGAGGTATTTGGGCTAATGTGTCACACTCAAAGTTTCAAATTGTAAATGTTCGCATTAATGTATACTGTACACTTTTATTTATTTCATGGGTTTTCTAAATATTGTTCAGTATTTGAGCGGAGTGAGCGAAGCTTATATACTACACTCCTGCTTAATATTCCTGCTCCGCTCAATATTGCAAGCAGACAACTGCATTGTACACCTGATTTTACTTGTCAATTGAAACAGTTTATTCTAATAATAAATTATTCACATTAAACTATTCTATCACTATAATAGGCTATGACTTTTTTATTGTAAATTCTTTATCTACTTCTTTCAATCGCTCCTGTTGACTTATCTTTTGTTGCATTTCTATGAAAATAATTGTTGACCCAGTATCAAAAGTAAACAGATTAGATCCTGAATGATTGAAAATGCTGGTGTTCTTAAATATGAATTTGTACTTTTAGACAATTATTCCAGCAGCTGGCTATACTTTAGTGTGCAAACTTGCGTATACTCAATATTATTGCATAACGTTTTAGTTTGATGTCTAGGGAGTTTAAAAAACCTGGGTGTTTACCTCCTACCCCTCACGTTTTCCGGCTATGACGTCATCAAAATGACGGCCATTGATTTTTTAAAAGCTTATATTTTGCAAACTATTTGTCGGATCGGAATGAATTTTTTTTTTTTTTTTTTTTAAAGATAAGTTTAAATGCTATCTACTTTACATTTACACATTTGTTGTATGTTAAGTACATTTTTCGTAATTTTGCAAAAACCTGTATTTTTTTTATTTTTGCTTGTAATGTTTTATTAGTACAAAATATAAAAAACCGCCAATGAAAAAAGTTGTAGAACGTTTAAAAAGCTTTACAAAAATACCAAATTCGATATGTTTTACTCAAAAGATTACTCAAGAAACTAGATGAATCTCATAATTTTTTTTTTTTTTTTTTTTTTGTGGGGAAGTTTTGTCGTACGATTTGCTTCCAGATGTGGAAGCCTGAAGGTTCTGACCAGCCTGGCTGTAAATGGCACCTCGGACCACCGGATTTTCCTGAACCAACCAGGGCAGAGAGCGGGATCCACCCCCCCCCCCCCCTGTGAAAAGAGGAAGGCATTGTGGGGACGACAGTTTGTTTCCCTAACCTGGCAAAAATTGGAATTGAATTGTTTTCTGCTGTCAAACAAAAAGGGTCGGACAACTGCACGCACAAAAGATTTTTTTTTATAAAGTTTTCATCCCAAGGAATTGCAGAAGTGCACTCTGGGAGATTGAGATCAGCTGGTGTGTCTTCTGGTGATGGCGGTTTAGGTCTTGAGAGGTGCTGATGGTATGGGCTAAGTGTTGAGGCAGCAGGCTGAGTGTAGGTAGAGATGTTGTGTGCTGATGACTCATGAGGACAAGGCCGGAGCATCGCTGCCTGCGCCCAAGGTGTGTTGGCTGATGACTCATGCGGACAAGGCCGGAGCATCGCTGGCTGCGCCCAAGGTATTCTTGGGATTCTGGAGATTGTTTCCTTGCCAAGTATTTTCCTTGAAAGGCACTAGGCGAAGTTTCCGGTTCATTTGGTTCTTGCAAAAAAGGTTCTGATTTCCTTAACTTACTGGTAACTATTTCTCCCTAAATCTAACTACCTCTACCTTAGTGACTAATTAAGCTAAGAAGTGTGAAAATGAGATAAGGATGGATAGGAAAGAATAGAAGAGAGTTTGTCTCTAGACAAATGACTAGTGCACTAGTCACCACAGAAGGTGCCTTCACTGAGCCCTTTCCAACGGGATAAAAATAAAAAAAATAAAAATAAAATGTAACCGCCCGTGGAAAGTAATATTCAATAAAAAAAAAAATTCTTTACTGAACTCAGTGTGGGTGTCAGAGGCGAAAAGGGAGGGGTGAAAGATTTGGCCGACAACGCACGGAGGAAGGACGTGTAGGGCAGCCCATCCTAGGGAAGGATACCCTGAGACTCACATTTTCCCGGGCGTTGGCGGGGACAGCGACAGATTGAGAAGACTTAACCTAATATCACTTTAGCAGAGTGTTCTGATCTGGGTAAGGGATGTTGAGCTTGTTGTTTTTTTTTTAAATTGTGGCTGAAAAAAATCGTTTTAGATGTGATACGTGTGCATTTCTAATGAACTTTCCTGTTGATGGATTTACCAAACGTGCCGTGATTGGGGAAGAAAATGCTTTAATGACGCAAGGTTTGGACCAGACAGGGAGCAATTTTTGGTTGATGGCATCGGCAGCTCTACTGAAGTGATGTTCTCTGAACATTACCCAGTCCCCGGTCTTGTACGGGTTGGGCAATCTGTCCAGATCATATTTCTGCTGCCTAAGCTGTCTAGCCCTGATGAGGTTCCCGACGGCTCTTCCCCACTCTTCATTTGAAGACTGTGGGGAAGCCCGGTCGTTGATTAGCCTGTCGAGATTCCAGTGGAGCTCTAAAGGATGGTAAATGTTTCTACCAAGGAATAAACGGGCTGGGGAGGTTTTGGTGGAGTCGTGATGGGCAGAGTTGAAGGCTATCTGGAACCAGTGTAATTCCTGATCCCAGCGTTTCTGGTGTTCATGGTGGAAAATTCGGATGGCTATCTTTATTTGTTTGTTGACCCTTTCGGCGTGGTAAATTTTGAACTGAAAGGAGTTAATGAAAGAAATCCAACGTGCAATCTTGCCGATCTGACGGGGGTGATTAAGAAGCCAAGTGAGGGCTGAGCAGTCCGAGTGCAGCTCGAACTCTCTGTGTTCTAATTACTGATGGTATTTCTGCAAGGCAAAGACTACTGCAAGGCATTCGAGTTGAAGTGTAGAGTAGTTGAGCTCGTGCTTATTTAGAGCTCGGGAAGCATAGGAAACCGGGAACAACTGATCACCATTAGGCTGAAGAAGGACTGCCCCGATTGATGAGCCGGAGCAGGGTTGTCAGCGGCCGGGAATTCCGGGAAAATCGGGAATTATGCGTGAATTTTAACAGCCGTGAAAAAACCGGGAAATATGCGTGAAAATCGTATTATTCCATGAATTTAATTGATATCGTTAATACAGTTTTTTTTCAAGTAATTTTAATAGTTATAAACCGTTTTGCAATACTTTCTTGATTGATTTTATAGTAAACCAAAATTTACGGTTTACTGGCGAGTGGCGATGGTTCGGAAGAAGCAGAAGGTAAGTTGGATGTACACTACCTACCACCATGAATAGGCCTACGCGGGAAGCCGACGCCGCCGGTCGCCGGAAGCACTTAGTTAAATATACTCGCAACTCAAGTCGATTAGTAGAGGTTAAGCCGATTTCGTTGATGTTTGACAAGTAAATAATAAGAAAGGAAAATGTTTGAGTTTTATTTAATCCCTTAACCCCTTTCAATATTGACATACTAGGCCTAATAATAATCGGCAAGGCATCGCTTGCGTCATCCATTTCACTGACAGCGACAGCTGACACTGGGTGATGGTGATAGTGATAGGTATGCAGCGAGTGCGATGTATTGAAATTTCAATTCTATTCTAAAAAGGGATGTATCGATTATCGTCATCGATACCACCATCCATTGGTTACCACTTGGACATTGGTATCGGTTCGGTACCAAGACTCGATTGTCAAAAGTCGATTCCGATAACACCGGACACCCGACAGGGATAAATATTTTTTTAAACATTTATTGACTTTATAGCTACAGTATTAGTTTTGTAATCACGGTTAACAATTTTCATAGCCAACATAGAAACTATCTAGTTCAAAACAGCGATGGTGCCGGTGACATTGTTTAGCTTCAGCTCATTGCACAAC